AGTTTTGTTTATCTTTTCTAATTTTAACTATATATATACATACAGGGTGTCTCATAAGATGGGTCCGAACCACATTGGGAGTGGAGATCAAAGGAAACAAAAAATTCTTATACTATTTTGAAATACTCGCTATAGTTTTCGAATTAGAAAAGGAAATGTCTAAGCCAATATTAAGCCGCGCCGCGCGAATTCGTAGGACGGCCCTTGAGCGGCGGCGACGGCGGCGCGCAGGGAGAGGGAAATAGCGCTTCGTTGCCTAGCACAGCCTGGCATGGCAGTTCTATGTGTTTCGCTGCATTGCGCCTACATTTTCTCATTAGATGGCATTAAAAAAACGCCATGAACTTTTTCCCACACATATATATATATACCATTTGATCAAAAAGTTCCCGGAATTATCACCAGGTGATGCTCTGAATCAGCTGATTTGAGTTCTGTTTTTTTTTTTGGTTAAGTTGCCACATCTATCATTGACATTCCCACCAAATTTTATCACCATAGCTTGACATTTGTAAAAGTTACGCTGTCTTGAGTACATCTACCTCTGCACGTATTTATGATTTTTTACAGATTTTTAAAAATGGAGTTGAATTTGCAACAACGAGTTTGTATTAAATTTTGCGTTAAAAATGGATTCAATGGTGTGAAAACTTTGGAAATGTTAGGAAACTGATTTTTTTCTGTTCGAGTCAAAAAACCATTACGGGGAACGCGTTTTAACAGCCGAAAGGAGGTAATGGAAAAATCGAAGACTGCTCTGATGGCTATACCGACAATAGAGTTCCAGAAATGGTATCGAACGCAATTGATGCGTTTGAGCCGAGCATTGAAAGACAAACGGCCGCAATATAACGAGAGACACGATAAAGTAATTTTGTAGCATGACAATGCTCGACCCCATGTTGCGAAAGTGGTCAAGACATACTTGGAAATGTTGAAATGGGAAGTCCTACCCCACCCGCCATATTCTCCAGATGTTGCTCCCTCTGATTATCACTTGTTTCGATCAATGGCCACGGTCTGACTGACCAGCACTTCCGGTCTTATGAAGAAGTAAAAAATTGGATCGATTCGTGGATAGCTTCAAAAGATGACCAGTTTTTTCGACGCGGGATTCGTACGCTACCCGAAAGATGGGAGAAAGTAGTGGCCAGCGATGGACAATACTTTGAATCATAAATGTATAACCAGTTTTTTATAATAAAGCCTCGAATTTCGGAAAAAAAC